GTTGGGTTGGTGTGAGTGGGCTGTGTTAGTGTGTGTGTGTGTGTGTGTGTGTGTGTCTATGTATGTATGTATGTATGTGTGTGTGTTGTGTTAGTGTGTGTGTTAGTGTGTGTGTGAGTGTATGAGTGTGTGTGTGTGTGTGTGTGTGCTAGTGAGTGTGTGTGTGTGCATGTTGTGTTAGTGTGTGTGAGTGTACGATTGTGTGTTGTGTTAGTGTGAGTGTGTGTGTGTGTGTGTGCTGTGTTAGTGTGTGTGTGCTGTGTTAGTGTGTGTGTGTGTGTGTGAGTTGTGTTAGTGTGTGTGTGTGTTGTGTTAGTGTGTGTGAGTGTATGAGTGTGTGTTGTGTTAGTGTGAGTGTGTGTTGTGTTAGTGTGAGTGTATGAGTGTGTGTTGTGTTAGTGTGTGAGTGTATGTGTGTGTGTTGTGTTAGTGTGTGTGAGTGTATGAGTGTGTGTTGTGTTAGTGTGAGTGTGTGTTGTGTTAGTGTGAGTGTATGAGTGTGTGTTGTGTTAGTGTGTGAGTGTATGTGTGTGTGTTGTGTTAGTGTGTGTGAGTGTATGAGTGTGTGTTGTGTTAGTGTGAGTGTGTGTTGTGTTAGTGTGAGTGTATGAGTGTGTGTTGTGTTAGTGTGTGAGTGTATGTGTGTGTGTTGTGTTAGTGTGTGTGAGTGTATGAGTGTGTGTTGTGTTAGTGTGAGTGTGTGTTGTGTTAGTGTGAGTGTATGAGTGTGTGTTGTGTTAGTGTGTGAGTGTATGTGTGTGTGTTGTGTTAGTGTGTGTGAGTGTATGAGTGTGTGTTGTGTTAGTGTGAGTGTGTGTTGTGTTAGTGTGAGTGTATGAGTGTGTGTTGTGTTAGTGTGTGAGTGTATGTGTGTGTGTTGTGTTAGTGTGTGTGAGTGTGTGTGTAGTGTGTGTTAGTGTATGTGTGTGTGTTGTGTTAGTGTGTGTGCGTGTTGTGTTAGTGTGTGTTAGTGTATGTGTGTGTGTTGTGTTAGTGTGTGTGCGTGTTGTGTTAGTGTGTGTTAGTGTATGTGTGTGTGTTGTGTTAGTGTGTGTGCGTGTTGTGTTAGTGTGTGTTAGTGTATGTGTGTGTGTTGTGTTAGTGTGTGTGCGTGTTGTGTTAGTGTGTGTTAGTGTATGTGTGTGTGTTGTGTTAGTGTGTGTGCGTGTTGTGTTAGTGTGTGTTAGTGTATGTGTGTGTGTTGTGTTAGTGTGTGTGCGTGTTGTGTTAGTGTGTGTTAGTGTATGTGTGTGTGTTGTGTTAGTGTGTGTGCGTGTTGTGTTAGTGTGTGTTAGTGTATGTGTGTGTGTTGTGTTAGTGTGTGTGCGTGTTGTGTTAGTGTGTGTTAGTGTATGTGTGTGTGTTGTGTTAGTGTGTGTGCGTGTTGTGTTAGTGTGTGTTAGTGTATGTGTGTGTGTTGTGTTAGTGTGTGTGCGTGTTGTGTTAGTGTGTGTTAGTGTATGTGTGTGTGTTGTGTTAGTGTGTGTGCGTGTTGTGTTAGTGTGTGTTAGTGTATGTGTGTGTGTTGTGTTAGTGTGTGTGCGTGTTGTGTTAGTGTGTGTTAGTGTATGTGTGTGTGTTGTGTTAGTGTGTGTGCGTGTTGTGTTAGTGTGTGTTAGTGTATGTGTGTGTGTTGTGTTAGTGTGTGTG